CCCCCCCCCGCATAAGAGTTTCAAGTACCACAATTTTACACTTTCAAATACTCTTGTTCTACTATTGTTCTCCTAAAAATGGAGACGTAACCAACAACTCCACATGTTCTCTCACCAAATATTGAAAATATACATCTTCAACTCTCCTTAATATTTTCTCAACCCAAAACACGAAGTATCAATTCGTGACCGAGGGAGCATGAAAACTACTTTTTTCTTTGGGAATAATTGGGAGTAAGACCAAACACTATGTCATTAATTATACCCCTTCATGAACTAATTGGTAATTTGCCTTGGGTAACATGTAAGGATGCCCAGTCAACTCTTTCAAGTGCAAAACATTTACTAATCTCATGTTGCGACTACAAAAGTGTGCACAACAACCACCACTAAGTGCCCAAATCAGTTGGTTAAATAACAAAAAATTGCCCCAGGGCTTTGATCTAGTGATAAGGGTGCAGACTTGTGATATGTAGGTTAGGTGTATGCCATGGGTTCGGCCCATGCCGCACACAAAAGCCTGATAGATAAGTGGAGAAGGGTATAGGGATGGGACCATCACCCACCGAGTTTTACGCCATTAACCCTTGGGATTCCTCAAATAAAATAAAATTAAAAAAGCAAATTCTAAAAAGTTGTTAACAAATATCTCCTTTAAGAAACTCCTAAACACAAAATGGGGGACCACAAAGAGACTTTGATTAAAAAGGGAAGCCATAAAATAAATACTCCTTCTAACGGGCAACTGGATGAAGTGGCAGGAAGATGAACTTACTAAGTCGTTCCTAGAAAATTGATAAGAGAAAGACTTTTTTTACACCCGAAGGTGTAGCCTAACAGTCAATGAAGTGGGTAAAACTTCAAAGACCAAGGTTCAATTCCCAACGAAAACAAAAATACTAGGTGATTTCTTCTCATCTATCTAACCTTGGTGGGCAAAGTTATCCAGTACTTATACTGTTGCGAAGTAGCAGGTTCGCGGCAAAATAGTAAAGGTGCACGCAATCTAGCCCAAACACCACCTTTACATATAAAAAAGATGATTGAGACTTTTTTTATGCCGCAAGTACATATAAATTTTTTTCGATCACCATCTTCTAGAATCTACCCTACAAAGACTACAGCACATGGCTGATTTCACGAAAAACGATAAACCAAACAAAACAAAAGATGTTAGCACAGCCTATGAGGAATCCTGCTGCAAAATGGCACTTCATACCTTTTCTGAAGGGCCGTTGAGTTTTCTCTGATTGATCAACAGACTCCGAGGTTGATTCTGAGGAACTTTCAAGTTCTCCGGACACTCTCTAAAATCCATGCAATGTTTAAAATCAAAACCATGAGAAATGCATATAACATCTATAATGATGGATTTCTAATTAGTGACATTTTGAAGAAATTGGTAACACTCAAAAAGATATGGATGTAAACTCAACTAGGGCATAATACTTACATTATAATAATAAACCATGAAGGTTCTCTTTCAAAAATAGTTACATGATATTCGAAGGAAATAGAGAAAAGCAAATATTATATTTAAAATCCAATTCTCCAACCTCCTACGAACCTCCGCCTATTGTTGACTCTTATGAAGACTATTCAAGGAAAGATATCATTTTCCCTTTTCATGGATCATTTTATATATACATTTTGGCTTAATATTCCTAATCCCAACTGAACCAACTGAATTACCAAGTTCCTATATTTGATATGTGTGTGCCCATGAACAGTTTACAGCCAACAAAGTACCAGATTTCAGATTGTTTACAGCTAACTCAAAATTTACCTTCTCAAAGTCGTCAAGGTTGAATGGAATAAGTTTTTCTAATGCTTCCACAGATGCCTCAACATCAACGTCTTCCTCACTAGCTTCTGACTTTGTCTCAGCACTGCTTGTCCATTCTTCCTCATTACTTGCATCATTTGCATCTTCCATTTCAGAATCCGACGTACACTCTTCACCTGATTCTACATCTGATTCGCTTTCAGATGAGCAATCTTCACCAAAATCCTGTGCATAAGTAACTTTATGAAGATATTCGATAAAAAGCAAAATAATGGTGTTTAGTCAAAAGGAACCAATGATATATGTATGTGTGTGTATATATATATATATATGAATAACTTACATATGGAGCTAGAATGCTGCTATCAAGCACCAGCAATGGTACTTTTAAATCTCGAGCAAGGGTTCGAACTAGTCTTTCTCGATAAAGCTCAGTCCCTGCAACATCATCAAGAATTCAGCATTTATTTCTAACAAGCAATAATAAAAAGCTATATTGTCATAGGAATCTCATACCAGTCTAGAAAACTCTACCTGGTATACTTTGAAGCAGGATTCTCCCACTTGAAGAACTCAAGCGGCCACCGTAAGCCACAGTAACCTTCTTATGCTTTAAATGGGAAGCAACACACTCCACCAAAACGTTCTTTGTATGTTCGCTGCAAGTTTTGTTGACATAAATTAACCCAAATAGCAACTTGGCAGCAAGAGAAATAGATCTGAAAGGCAGGAACTCACTGGATATAATAAGGAAATGTGTCCCATGATAGAGCTATTTTCTCCCACGGAACAACCCTCCTTGAGAACTCGTTTTTAAATCTTTCTCGTCTACTTAGGAAAGGTGATTCTTTCTTCTTACTCTCGATCGACAGCTTTTCATTCCGGAGCCACTCCTTCTGCTCTTGATCACCAAGCTGAGCATGTGCATCACAATATCTCACATCTTCACCGCCTTTTTCCTGCCGAACTGTTCCTTTATCAGAGCTCCCACTATCTCTCGTGTGTACATGTTTATCCTCACTCGCATCCCTACCATCACCTTTAGAACTAAAATACCTTAAATGTGTTGCAGGTAAAATCCTCAACAATCTTATATTCCCTCGTTGGGAAGCAGTCTGTATTGACTTAGATGTATCTAACAAAGCTCGTCCTATCACACTGCCTAGAGAAATGCAGTCTGAAGGTATATAGGTAACGCTTGAGGTTTGTATAGGGGAGTAAGTTCTGTAGCCAGAACTAACATAGTGGTTAAAACGCTGAAATGCTAGATTCCACCTTTGGTTGTTGCTTCTTATTCTCCTCACATACATTGCAAATTATTAAAGGTATAATAGATACCTAATAACAAGCAAAGTTTATACGGTTAGTCCACAATTGTCCGAAAGCAAAATGAAAACTTGCTATTTTTCCTGAGAAAACTAAAATCATAATAAGCTTCATACTGCTTTTAGCTGCAAAAGAAATCACATTTCTTAACCTTACAAAGTTTTTGTTATCATATGAAATAATCACACAATAAGCTTTATTGACAGAGAAAAAGAATCGTGAACACAACACAAAATAGTCAAGAAGACAAACAGAAATTCACAATAACAGTGATTCACAAACACAATATAACATTGACACACAAGCATATGTCAGCAGTCCTCAAATTTTGAATTTTCTATTTTCTCAAAAGTTGGGCGAAAAGAGAAATGGGGCGTCCCAAAAAAATCAATAACAACGAGCAAAAGCAATTAGAATCAATCAAAAAGAATCGTTATTTAGCATGCCCAAGATAAAAATTCAATCTTCTATTTTATGTAAAAGGGGGTGCATACTATCTTAGCTAATTACAATGTAAAATAAAGAACAGACCTTTCTTTGGTTATAATTAATAATCCTTATAATAATGTAAACTCAGAAGCCAGAAACAGCAGTGGCCATATGGGTTATAAACAGAGGGTCATGTATACCAGTGGAAATAGGGATGACCCGTGAAAAGGGGGAGGTGACAGAAGGGGAGAGATTACCGTTTGGGAGAAGAGAGATAAGAGCTATTTTGTGTTAAAGAGGTAACCTAGGAGGAAGTGACTGCTAACTGAGTTAGGAGACACGAGAACTGTCCAAAAACAAGCATCCGCACATGTTAACTCAGTTAGGCTTATGGCCCAATAGGTTTAAGGAGGAAGATTTCACCGTTCTGGCCCAACAGGTTTTTCTTTTTTTTTTTTTTTAGATATTTACATTCCTATACATTATATGAAACCATATTATCATCTCTATTCAAGTTTTAGTAAAATTACATTTTATATACTCAATTACCATTTATATACATTTTAAGTGAATTAATGATAATAATTAGTGTCCTAAAATCACTCTAACGTATTGTGAGCACGTGATTTTTGTTTTACGCGACAATCACTCCAAAAGAAATAAAAATAATAGCAAATGGTCCTGCTGTACAATTTTTTGAATTTACGTGGCATTTTTGGTAGTTATTTGTGATCTTGTCCATTTTTTATTTTTTATCAAACAAAAATATAAAAATATATGTCGTGTGAACCGCAATCCGGTTATTAAAAGGAAAATCACAAAAAAAATGCATCTTTCATTCTATTTTGTTATTAAGTGATGTTAGTGTAATTAAATGTTAATTGTGTGATAATTGTTGTTTAATGTTTTTATAGTATTATTTGGCAATTTAATTTAAGAGATTAAAAAAAAAGGATTTTCGGATTGGGCCAGTCCAAATTAAAACAAACAGGCCCAAACCAAAACAACCCAACCCAGCATCCCTGTTTGCCCGATCTAGTTGAGCCGCTTTTAATCTGGACCGTTGATCTCAGGACGATCAACGGCCAAGATCACATCCCCCATACCCACATACGAACCCGACCCATTCAACCCCGGACCAACCCAACCCCTGGCATGTGAAACGACATCGTTCCCCACCAGCTGAAAGATCCTGGCCTTTCATCTCACCTCATCCAACGGCCAGGATCTATCCACTCACTAACTATATAAACCTAAAACCTTACCCCACGCCCCATCCAAACACCCCCCCTCGAGTCGTCTCCTTCACGGACCCAAACCCTCNGGTTTGTTGATTTTTCAAGATTTTAAGGTATTTTTGCTTTCCTTTTCTTATCAGTTCATGTGTTTGTTGTAATTGAATGTCTGTTCATTGCCCCAAATGTTTAGTTGATTTTATTTTGAATTGTTTGTCGACTGTTCCTGTCCACCTTGCCCGGACCTTTGTATTTGGACAAATCTTTCTTCATTTGCTGATAATGTGTGTATGTGTAAACTGTACAACCAACTGAAATTGAAATGGGTCGATTAATTAGTTCCCAGGGCCAATTTTGTTTTGGTCAATACAACTTGAACCCCCTGCTAATACTGTTGGATTCTGATCATTGAGCTTCGATTGTATGTGTTGTGATTCGCATAGTCGATTCAATATATGTCGTCAATTAGTTCAGCTTTGAATGGTAATAATTTGATCCATGTTATTGGCTTTCCTACTGATATTTTATTTGAATTCAATTAGGAACTGAGTATGTTGCCTGTGATTTGTTCAATTTGAATCAGAAAACATTTAAGGGTGGTGTCATAGTTGCAGTTCAGACCTTGGTTTTAAAATGGATAGCATGTTCACTTGGTTTAGATTTTGGGCAGCATGTGTATGGTCAGCTGTTAAGGATTTAAAATAATTGGACAGCATGTGCTGTTAGATTATATTCTTGCTGCCCATGTCTGGTTTTAGTTTAATAAGGTGATAAAAAGGCTGTCAGGGAATCTCATGGGAGGGTTTCTACTTTTAAATGTTTGAGTGGAACAACAGCAGAAAAGGAGGGGTTTCTGATTGTTTTAACAGGCTGTAAATTGGCCTGATGTTAGATATAAAGGAGGAGGACAATTGAGATATACCAGGGAACATTTTTCAGCAGATAGAGATAGAAAAATAGAGAGGCATATACAGAGATTGGATAGGCATAGAGGGCACACACACAGACAAAAATTAGAAACTATCTTTCCATTGTTGTCTTGATTTCACTTATTTCGACCTGTCTATTCAACACTGATTTTTCCAAGTCCCAACTGAGTTTACTGGTTGTTTATTTCGTTGGTTTGTTCCTGGATTTGGTCTATCTGGGATTTTGACTTTACTCCACTATTCGCTGCTATCATCTTGCTACTGTTTTCCATTGGTCATAGTTGCACCCTTGCACTGGGTTTGTTCTGCTGTCATTTGTTGCTACTGCTGCTGCTCGTTGCTTTTACTTGTGATCACTGTTGTCATCTGAGTTTGTTGCTGACTTGCTGCTTCCATTTTCTTCTTTGCATTTCAGCATCCAGGTACACATTTTTGAATCTCACATTGATGTAACAATAGCAATGAGTTGAAATGAAAGACGCGAAGAATTTTTAGTCCTTCGGTACTGCACCTATAGTCTTATAAAGTGTTAGTAAATTCGCGCAAATCTTTAGATTGTAACTCGATAGGAAGATACAGCAGGTAGTTTTGTATTTAATTGAAAACTGGGTCTGTTTAATTATCTTAACTTACAATGGTTTATCTTGTTTAATTGTGTGTGTGATGTGATTACGCAATTCGTGGAATGTACGAGTAATTGGTACATCAAAAACTAGACTTCATTCTTAGTTATATTCTGCATGTATAAAATGGATTGCTATTAACCTGGACAGAGGCAACATTAGTTTTAAACNTACACATTTTCGAATCTCACATTGATGTAACAATAGCAATGAGTTGAAATGAAAGACGCGAAGAATTTTTAATCCTTTGGTGTTGCACCTATAGTCTTATAAAGTGTTAGTAAATTCGCGCAAATCTTTAGATTGTAACTCGATAGGAAGATACAGCAGGTAGTTTTGTATTTAATTGAAAACTGGGTCTGTTTAATTATCTTAACTTACAATGGTTTATCTTGTTTAATTGTGTGTGTGATGTGATTACGCAATTCGTGGAATGTACGAGTAATTGGTACATCAAAAACTAGACTTCATTCTTAGTTATATTCTGCATGTATAAAATGGATTGCTATTAACCTGGACAGAGGCAACATTAAGTTTTAAACTATTCAATTTAACTCCGTTACATCCGAATTTCATTAGGCAGTTTTGAATCTAATTAGTAGCAGTTTTCTAATAAATAGCCGATTTCATTAATCAAGCCCAAAAAAGCTAGTTTAATTTCAAACTTGAAGGCCGTTCAGTGTAAGTTTAGTATATGTTATTCGTCTTGCTTGCAATCTCCCTTAGCAAATTAACAAGCGTATTCACTCGTTGAAGTAAGGCATGAGGCGATTCCCACCTCATAAACAACCAATCAGATAATTAAACAAGAATCCGGAAATCGGCCAAGCATGCAATTTACTTAGAACGTAATTTCTTTCTCCATTTATTAGAGACGAACATAATAAAGATGTAATCATCGTAGGCTTACCTGCTTCACAAAATGAGACGAGCCTCGCCAAATGAGAGACATAAACTGCGGGGCCCTCATAAGTGTATATATATTGAATACTTAGAATTCGGGATGGACTGTTTAGTGAATTTCACTGCCTTCCCCAAAGATAATAACGCGTTAGACTCTTTAGGCGCGACTTAATTAAATTACATTCCTAAATTCGGGTGC